TGCATTGGAGGCCTTTGGTCTCTGCTTTCCTTACAATACTTGTTGGCAGTAAGTCTTCTCTGTGTCAGCTGTTTCTGTTACAGTCTCACAAAGGTGCTGCTGAAGCCTGGCTCAAGCCTCGCTAAAAAAATAGTTGTTTGAGCATCTGAGGTGAGAAAAGTCAAGGCATCCAGCACACCTCCCACTACTTCTATTCCTGTACTCATTGCTAGAACACTAGTAATGTAGACAAAATTTTTAAGTATGTGATAGGAATTACTGGGAAAGCGACTGTGTGGAAAACACTGAGATGATTTATGTATTTCATGGATGACTGATTTTAATATAAAGGAGTTCTGTTCTCACATGACTCAAAAAGGGATACATAACTATAAACTTTAATGATGTAATTAAAATATATGTAGAGCGTGGAACAAATTAATCTTTTTTCAAAGCTGCAAGTACTGCTTGTAAGATAGACAGATGTCTCTTCTCCGCTGTGTTTGCACACAAGCAAGGATTTTAGGTTAACATATATGTTTTGTGATATTTGAATTCTTTTCTTGTACTCTCCTAAGGCTTCCTCCAGCAGAGCTGACAACAGCTTTGCCTCACAGAGCTGTTAGAGGAGAGTTAGGGAAGCCTAATACCCTCTGAAAACTCGGAGAAGTATGAGAACACAAAAGAATGATGCTTTAGTCTTCTAAAGAAGAAAAAATAAACTCTACCCAAAATCATTCTTGCAGTGAGATATTGCTGAGTTCCAGGGGCTCAGTTGGTGTTGAAGATAAAAATGGGACCACGCCTTAGATTAAGGCAATTAGGATTTCCAAATCCTGGCTTTGCCAGTTCATGTTAAATGGCAAATGAGTCTAAAGGGATATTGCATACAAAAAGTATTTAAATCAAACGCTGTTAATCTATTTTTCTTCTGTACAGATCTCAAAACAATGAGTGAGCGACTCAAGAATAGGTACTACGTGTCTAAGAAATTATTCATGGCAGACTTGCAGCGAGTCTTTACAAATTGCAGAGAGTACAACCCCCCCGAGAGTGAATACTACAAATGTGCCAATATACTGGAGAAATTCTTCTACACAAAAATTAAAGAAGCTGGATTGATTGACAAGTGACACTGTCTTTTTTACAACCAAATAGTGTGCCTACTTTATGGGCAGGGGAAGGCATTATATATGAGAGTTGTGGGACTTTAAGGTTTCAAGAAACTTCTGTTTAATACTTAGCACTTTTAAAAACCCTTTTAGTTTTGCAAACATGTATTATACTGAAGTTACAAAAATTATTTTATTAAAATGCTTTATAATGTATTTAATTACGGAAAATTTCTTTTGTGTGCCCATTACCGTATGTTCATAAGTTTATCAGCTACAGCCTCAGAAACCCCACAAAACATGTGGGAAATTGCACATGTTTGGGAATATGAAGAAAATTCCCAGACAACAGATGTTATAGCTTACCTAATGCAGTACCTATTTGATAAAGTTTTATTATTTTTTCCAGTAAAAAAGAAAATAGTAAAGGAAAACAACAGTTGGGGGGGTTCTGAAACACTTGTTTCTTTGTAGAATCTTTTTATAAGATATTATTTTTTAAAAGAAACACTCAGCTGGTTGAGAAGCTGTGAGAGAAGAGCAGCCAGTTCTCAAAAAGGGTGGCCTGTACTCTTTGATAGATGCAAGTTTTTCTATTCATTTAGGGTTTTGATAAATATTTTACTTGCAAATTGCAATGGCATAACCACTATTTAAAAAAAAAAAAAAAATCTGGCTAGATGTGTAATGTCATAGTGACTTGGCTTATGCAGGACATAAGTACCCAAAATAACTTCAGAGAATCTGATTTGAGTGTATTAGACAATTTCAATTGGCTTAGTAGAATTAAGGTTTTGATGCACTTCATGATCCACCCTATTTACTACTCCTCACCGATAAATTCTTTAGATTATTCACCAGAGATAAGACCGTTGTACACAAAAGTAGTCAACATATGACAGCTTCTAGCTTATATACTTGGCTCTGTGGTAAACTGGATTTTCTACCAAGCTTTATTGTAAATGCTTATTAACTGTGATTATTTAGACCCAGGAACACATTAGCATTTTACAACTCATGTTAGTATATCTTCAAATTGAGCACGTATATATATATATATTAAAAAAATATATATATTTTGCTGCTTACACTACATTAAGAGGTACACCTAACTTCCTAATGGAGATCAGTACAGGCCAAAAAGTTGTCGACATTTTCTAATTAGAGTTTGTAACTGTAAATTATAATTGCTTTTGTGAAAAACAGATTTGACTTTCATTCTTGGTGTTTTATATTTACAGATGTTACACTGGTAAAATTCAATAGTTATAAGACTGAAAAAAACCCCCAATCCTGTGCTGTGTCAAAGAACATTTTCCTGCAAAATGCCTGTGCAATGTTAAATCACAAGTCGATTCAGCAAGTAGATGTCAGGAACTACCTGGAAGTAGTAAATGTGGTACACACAAGGTATTCAAAATGTTAACACTAGACTTGCCACAGTGTTTTGTATGAGATTAGTCTGACCTACATTTGGGATCTATAACAAAGGTACAGCGAGTATTTTTTCTTTTTTAATAGCCAGTACTGGATGCTATAATCCTGTTTTGTAGATTGGGACTACAGATGCACCTGTTAAGCTTGGTATCCTGTGAAATTTTATTTTCAGAGTAGATTTTCTTATTGTCTTTCAATCAGATTGTCTCTTCTATATTGAAACATTTGTTTTCTAATTTAAGAATTAATATTTTCATAGATACTGTGCAATAAAGTTACGGTAGGATACGTGGTTTTGCAAATGCTTTAACAGCTGATGAACTTTACATTTGTAAAATTAATATATTGTACTGGTACAGAATAGTTTTAAATTATATATGTACAAAACCCAACTTATTTTGGTGTCTCTTTTTCATTAATTAGTTTTTTGCACTACAGATACACACACTGAAGTAATTTCACAGTGAATCTACAAGAGTGCAGTCAGTGCATCGTCCAGGTACACTAGAAAAGAAGCAAAAAAGCCTCTGAGCTCCCTGGGACCATAGGACTGAGAATTCAGTATGGAAAGCTGTGACCGTTCCAAGTAGCATTCCCAGCTCCATGGTAACTGAACTACAGTGCTGTTATGCCCATCTCCTCAACACCTCAAAGAATTCTTTGACTGAGCTGTTCAAAAGTTCTGATTTTTCACCTCAAAGCACGCCTATGCTGTTTTCTCATTTTTGTCTACTAGAGTCAGAGTCCTTTATTCACAAGACACAATGTACGTAGGAGCAAACCACAGTCCAGGTTGAGCTTGTACTTGCCTCCTATCCTGACAACGTTACTGAGGTGGCACCCTTATTTTGCATGCCATAAGCAAGCCCTGCACCTGTCCACTCCCTGACAGATAACGAGAGTATGAAGAGCTTTATTTTTTTTTCCCCCATCCACTAAGATTTAGTTCCGAGGGTAGCAAATAGTGGTCAAAAGAGGTCCAGCTCTTTTCCTGGACACTTCTAGGAATATCAATTGAGATGAGGTGAGCTAGTCTCTGACTTCTTCCTGCAGTTGTGATGGAACTGCAGCACTTCAAGCTTACTCAATCAAAAAAAAAACCAAACCCCAGATCCACCCAGCTGCCATGACTGCTATGCTGTGAAGTTGTTCTTTTCTGTCCCTGATAAATGGCTGTTTGTTACAGATTTGTTTGCCTGAGGAAAAGAGCACCCAAAATTAAATCATTCTGCTTAGTTCCTATAGTACTAGTTTCACACCAAAGATGGTAAAGGCCGGAGCTAGACTTTTAGGATACAAATACAAGGTGAAGCATCAGTTCCAGCATCCAAAGGCTGTGGTGTGAACAAATATTTTCAAACACTCAGTAGCTACAGCTTTCATGGAAGAAGTTACCAGTAAAGCAGTAATTAACGTGATACATTTTTATTACAGAAAGGGAGAGATCTTACACCTAGTGAAGTGGGACAGGCGAGACAGGCAATCTTGCAAGACAAATGAAGAACCTGGATTTTTGTACTTTCCCATTATTTATTTTGGCTGTAGCTTTCCTTTTTGTATTCAAGTATCCATTAATACTTAAATACTTCTCAAGCAATGAAAAGCTAGCTTGAGTGCTCTGCAACCTTCAAATCTTGTGGACAGTTTATAACAGCGTTCTTCTGGCTTAGTGCCTGTTCCGGTACTTTGGTACCAATTCAGAGGTGGCAGATCTTCCTCTAGTGAAGGCACTTGGCAAGGCAGGGCAAAATTATTATGAAGTCCTATAATGGCAGTTTACTTTACACTCCACCAAAACACGCCCTCTTCACCAGCCTTCACAGATAAGCAGGCCGGAACAACCCAAGTTTAAGCTGATGATAATTTGCTCAATTGCTACTTTTGAGAGCTCTAGCAACATAACCAAATTACCACTGGCAATCTTGTTTCTAAACAATGGTGATGGCACAGAAGATGGAAAAGTACCCTGGCTTGTTGACACTGCTACCCTCGAAGCAAATATGGAAACTGTGCAAAAAGAACACCCACCGACCTCGAGCTATTTCCAATCACTAAGACATTTATTATGAACGTCAACATGAAATTACAACCATTACATAAAGAAGATCTGTACAAACACTGTTATTAACAAAAACACAAAAACATACATACCTTAAGTTCACCTTTGCCAACCACTGAGTTCAAGCAAGGTCTAAGTCATAAAATTATGTTTGCTATCTTTTCTATCAGATACTTTTGATATACTCACAAATGGGTTTAAATGGAATCACTTTAGTTATAAAAGCAGTCTTATGTCTTCTATATCATAAATAACAAGTCACTAGACTAAAACCAAATTCCCTTAATTTTGTACCCTTAGTAACACAGAAATAATTACATATTTGTGTAAGATATTGTACAACAATAATTTCCTGGATGGAATAATTCCTTTCTTCATGGAGAAGTATAGTTTTGCTATTGAGACTGGAAATCTTAACGACAACCAACAAATTTCTCATTGTATTTTGTCAGAGATCTTTTCTTAAGAGAGCATCTGCCATTTTTTTTCTGCTTGAAAAGTGGAGAATTCAGAAAATTTGTATCTGTAAAGGGATCTCCTCTCCTGAGTTTCCTGTTAAAAAGAAACAACAACAAAAAAAGGCAAAATTGAGTTCTGTTCCCCACATCACTTAAAACATTAACTTTCAGCCAGCAAGTTCAATTTCACATGAACTATTTCATATTACTAGCATCAGACCTCTCTCTGAGTGTTTTGTTAAGAACCTATTTCCAATATTTAAAGAATCCCCTCAAATCCTCCATTTCATGGAGTATCATCAACTTTATGTAAGACACCTACCTTGAAATACTTGGTTCTTTGTAGGTCACAGAAACAGTACAGCTCCGCTTGCTTTTTGGTCCTTCACCTTCTGGGACCATAGCTGCATTGCCGGTGCCGGGGAGCGATGAAGCGGTGCTGGTAACATCGCACAGATGACCACAAGATGGCTCAGGAGGCTTACCTGGGAAGAAATTAGGCACACTTAAGACAATTCAGGCAAGCTAGCTTAAAAGAGAATGTCAGTAAATGTACTAGATGTGAAGTAACTCTCAGCTATAACTATTATCTTCATCTTTCAACTTAAGAATACATAAAAGCATCAAAAAATAATCACGATTTTAATTTGGAAAAATAACTTAACACTGAGCAGTACCAGGTGAAGTATGATTTGTTATTCCACTTCTCTCTCAAGTTAACACTCTTGTTCTCCTCTTTTCCCTCAGCTTTAATACATCATTAAAACACATCTAAAACAGTATTAATTCATTGTCGACCAATTTCTTAAATAAAACATACCCTTAATTCCAATTTCTCCTAAGAAAAAAGGTGGACAGAAGAAAGAATCTAATGATTTTTATAACACTATTTTGCTTGTATTTAAATAAAAAAGCCAAAAATCCCTTAAACAATGTTATCTCTCAAGGAAACAAAACCAATTAAAGAACACTTTCTACACTTACTAATGGATTTGTCACTTGATTTATTGCTTTCAGTCTGTTTTTCATTTTGGAGTTTCTGCTCACGCTGTGCCAAACATCTTTTAGACTTTGGCCTTGGCTGGACTGGCAAAGTATCCTGCTTGCATACTGAATTCCTCCTCTTTTTCGGTTTACTCTTGTAAGGCTCATAGAGACTGTCATCTGAATCGTCTTCAATATCACTTGACTTGACAGTACTAGTTTCAGATAAGTCCTCTTTGCCATCCATACCAGCATCTCCGTCAATCAACTTACGTTGTCGAAAAGGTGTAACATGGACACACTCTTCAAAATGAAAGTCAAAAGCATCACTGGAGCCACCCAAGAAATCCAGCTTTTCTTTGGAAGCCTCTTTACCCTGTATTTTTTTCGGCCTTTGTCTGGAAGTATTTTTAGGCCATTCCAGTTTTCCCTTCTGATGCTTCTCTTTCCTTATTTGAGAGTCTTCTTTGTTTTTACACTCATGTCGTTTAAGATCAGAATTATTGTTTAAGTTGAACTGTGCAGTTTCAGAATCTGTCTGCCTCAACAGCAGCTCTGAACCTATCTTGGTTTTATTCAACTGAGAAATAGCTGAATTTATGTTTTCTACAGTATGGTTCTCTAGACTTTCCTCAAGTCTAATTTCATCCTGTTCAGAAAGCTTTTTTGTTGAATTAAGTGCTTCCGAACCATCCAAGACCTCAGCGCAAAGTCCATCGTGATTTCTCATCGCTGAATAGTGACACTTGGTGGACACACTTTTTGGTAGCACGTTACCAAATCGATCCTCTCCACTTGAAGAAACATTTTCTAGCTCTGACCTTGTGTTGTCCAGATGAAAATTAGATGTTCGTCCTTGTAATTGAAGAGAAAAAGTCATATTAAATCTAAATAGTAACAACCTATTAAGGTTTTGTGCAAATTCTGAACCTGTCAAAAATCAAAGAGTGTTCTTAGAATTTTCTCCACAGATTTGTATAAACCATATTTGGCAATCAAGATAAGCCCTGTTTAATACCCTTTCCAGACAGGAAGTGGTTAAGTATACTACATTAGGATTTTCCTCTAAATTATTCTGTTTGGAAAGGTTATCTACAGGTCATTTATTTTTCTGAGAATTTTGCTTTGTTAACAATTACTGATTTCAGAAATGATAATGCATGACTAAAGATGACTGCATTGAACTGTTTGGTAGACAATGAAACTAGATTGCAGGTATATAGAAGACAAAGCATTTTCAAATTCTTCCCGTTTTGCTAGGCAACTTCAGTCAAAAAGTTTACCAGTTGCCAACATTAATTTCTGACCTTTATAAGTGGAAAATAACTTGACAGTTACGTCAAAAGCAGTAATTGTGTTTTAAACCTACACTTTTTTTTCACGGTTCAGAATGGAGCAATGTCTGATACTTTGATTTAGTTACCTTTGTCTTGAACTGTTTTGATTAAGGAAATGGCATTGTCAGATTCCTCACAGACCTCTGACAGACAATGAGCCAGCTCATTTCTCTCACTATCAGCTTCCATTCTATCACTATCAGCTTCCATCCCCCTTGGAAGCACTTGATCATCTCCATTGGCACACTGTAGAAGTCCTCTAGAGAAAATAGCAAAGGTAGTATTTACTAAACAGCAATATATTTTATGACAAAGAACTACTTTATTACATTGGATTTCTTCCCTTTTTCCAGTCAGAAAATTAAGTTTACTGTAACGGAATTTTCAAATATAAATAGGTATTAATAAAAGATACTTACACTGAATGTGTTTGTCCTATGACACTGGAACTATTTCCAAGAATTGAACACAGCCCACTCCGATTCTGTCAACAAAATAAATCTTACTGTGACTGAATAGCTGAAACAAGCTTACACCATACACAAATTTTAGACAACAGCCATGTTACCCACAGAAGGGCTGAAGAGGCCCTTGACTCTTTTCCTTTCTGGCCAGCTAACACAAAGTGCTGTGGGATCTTACATACTCAGCTCCTGCAAGTCAGCACATTCATCACACTGATAGTGGACAGGGGAAGGAACTGTAAGGATGGTACAGGGAACAAGACAAAACCACAGAAAATCAGGGTGGCCTTACCAGCTTGTAGCAGACTATCAGTCCCACTAACAACCTACTACACACCCCCACAGTGTGGACGCTATGTCATACTGGGAACTGTGGGAATAGTCATACCTCCAAACTAAGGCTCAAATCTCAAAAACTATAAGCATCCATGTTGGAAGGAGTAAGGGAAAGAATTAACAGAAATCCTGCCCCTCAAGAGGAAAAGGTACTTACCACACCTATGGAACACAAATTTTTTGCTGGGCCAAGGAGATCAACGGACTCCAGTAACTTGCAATAAACTTCTGAAATTATCTCATTCAAGGCTGACAGTTTACTCTAGCGGACAAAGGAAAATAACACCGTTAATGTCATACTCTAGTATGAACTACCAACGTACCAATGTAATAACTTCTTATCGGTATTATGACTAAGTCCTGAAGATACCTGCGTCAGGTACCTTTCAACTGTGATAAAAAAATAAAATTCACAGAAGATAGATTTTAATTAAAGAAGAAAGAGTAGCCAGAAAAAAAATATTTAGTTAATGACCAGATTAGGGGAAAATATGAAAAAACTTGTTCTATATATTGAGTTAATTTTTAATGAGACATTTAAGATCATAAAGATATCAGTGGCATGGTGCAGCTCTGATGTTCAGCTTCAGTAAATCGTTAAGTTATTATTAAAAATACCTCAAGAGGTCCTTGTGCTTGCTTGAACCTAAGATTTCTTTGTAAGTTAAACATCTCAATCTTCAGATAGTGATACTCTTTCCTTAATTGAAGGATGGTAGCCTCGGCATCCCTCAGTTTGAGCTTTTCTTCTTGCAAAGCCTTAGCTAGAGCTTTGTTGTTTTCTTGGATGCTCTTTATTTGCGTGGAGTGATCGGCTGCAATAGAAGAGCGAGTACTTCAACTTAGTTTAAAAAAAACATAGTTATGAAAACTTATTAGGATATTTAAGCATCTTACTTGCACTTTCGCACTTTACAGCGGAGATCTCACTAGTTTTACACAACTTTGCCAATATCTGATTTCTTCTCTCTTTCATTTGTTCTTTTATGTCATCCAGACTGTCTTTGAAGGGCTTTTTCAAGTGTTCAGCCATCTTCTACCTTTAAAAGCACAAAGGGTGAAGAACCCGTTAGGCTGGTGCACAACGCTCCCCCAACGCCAGAGGAAAAGGAACACAGAAGCGCCAGTAAAGCTTACGGTGTTACTAAATTGCACGTACACACGCCGGAGACCCCCAAGCACGAAAAGGCACACAGCTACAGCCACTTTCAAAACAATTTTTGCAGCGTGGCTAACAGGCCCCGGTTGCCGATGACGAGCCGAAATCCGCACGGCGTCGCCGGCGAAGGGCAGGCCGAGGCCTCTAAACGTTCGCACCGGGCCGGTACGACGGGTAACGGGGGAGGGCTTGTCCCTGAGGCGCCGGACGCGGAGCCCCGGCGCCTCTGACTCGGCAGCAAGACCCTCAGGCCACCCGCCCACCGGCCAGCCCTACCTCCTCAGGAAGGCGG